GCAGGGGAGAGGGGGTAGAGGGGAAGGAAGGAAGGGAAAAAAGAAAGAGAGAGGTTTTCACTCCCGCTGGCGGGCAGCCCGGTGTCACCGCGTAGACGCGCCACACGCGGTCCACTGGTTAAACAAGCCTTGAAAATACAGGAGCCGGAGGAGGGAAAGGATAAAACGGGCTCCTTTGCTGCCGGCGCCCTGACCCCCACGCCGTAAAAGGCGGTCCAGGGGGACCTGGACACATCGATGGGCAATAAGAGGGGACGGCGGAGGTGGAAGGAGAAACAGGGGGAAAAACAACAACAACAAAAAAGCGACCCCCCCCTTCCTTCCTTCCCGAGGAGTCGCTGACCTCTCCCTCCTGCCCCGGCGGCCGGGCTGCAGCAGGGGAGGGGGAGTCCCTGCCCTCTCCCTCCCTCCTCACGGCGGGGGGACGTGACCCAGCCTGGCCCGGGCTCAACCGGGGCTGAAAGGCGAGGCCGGCGACTCTGCCATCCGCTCCCCCCGTACTACCGTGCCAGCCTCACCAAACGGTGTTGGTTTTTTTTTGCCAGGAACCCACCCAGGACTATCCTGCCCCTTAACGCCTGCCCGGGCTGGCGGCAGCTTAGCCTCTGGGAGGCGGCAGGGGTGGCCCCCTACGCCTTCTCACCAGGTTGGCTTTATACAATAATATAGGCATACACACACCCCTCCTCATATAGATACACGCTCACATATATAGCAGTGTAACTCCCCTCCTTCGCCCCCCTACTAAAAGGCAATTTGGGTGGGTTGGCTCCGCGCTGTGCCCCTGCCTCCGTCCCCCTGCCCCGTCCCCCCCTCCCGCTGGCGCTCCCACCTTGAGCCGGGGCTCAAGTCCTCCCGCAGGAGAGAAAGGGCAACTTCTCGCTGACAGCCCCTCACGGCAAATAAAGGTTTTTGTTTTGTTTTGTTTTTCTGGGATTACACGCTGGAGTGTGGGGTGGAGGGTTCCTCGTCTCCCGTGGAGGAGAGGGGGACAGATCATCCATCAGTAGATGAACATTGGAAAATGCCCCAACTCGGGTGTCTAGAACTGCACAGTCTCTCGGCTCCCACCGAGTGCTCCTTAGCCAGCCTCCCTGGCATGAAGTAAAATTAAACATCTTCCTGCAAGTGTACAGATACATGCACATAGGGACGCACTCGGTCCACAGAACTGTAAAACCCATTCCTAAAATTGAGCTAATATTTATCCCCACACGCTTCCTCATCAGTACACTTCTTTAGAGATAGTCTGAGATGTATGCTTGTGGGTAGAGGTGTTTATTTACACACATCTTTAGCTGCTATGTCTGTAGAGGTGTACTAATCCTGTATTCAGAGCTAAATATTTCCGAATCATAAGCTTTTGAGAAGAAAAGAAGTCCCAAACAAGCAGCAAACAACGGCAAAAGAGCAGAGAGATAGCAAAGTGAATGCATTTATAGGTACAAAAGTCGGGGGGGTTGCCCACATGTCTGACAATTATAGATTGGCTCACGGTCTAATTCAAAATCGACTTGTACATAACGCACATCTTACTTTTAAAATTAGAGCAAATGAAATGTATTCCATATTAAGCCAAAAGAGACGCGTTTTGTTTGTTTGTTTGTTTAAATTTCACCCGCGGAGTTCTAGCAGGAGATAAGTGAGCACTTCTCAGTCCAAACCTTTTCTGGAAATTAGCGAAAGGACAACATTTGAAAGTACGGCTCCAAAGTGAGCTTAAAAGTAAAGAAATGGGAGCGGGAGTGGGAGGGAGTGGGCTGGTTTTCGCCATCGTAAAACTTTGAGAATAATCTCACTATATGGCTTGAAGGAGGGATCCGCTTATGAATTGTGTACTGGAGAAGGAAAGACTCAAGTACTTTATTTCAATTCAGAATTCCAAAGAAACCAGAAAAAAGATATCTTAGGTGGCTTGGTAGGTACTTGCTCCCAAAACTTTCAGTAAAAAAAAATACTGTCCGTACCTCAGTGTCATACAAAGTTCTGCTTTGGCAAAGCCAGTAGACAACACTGAAACGGATCAGCATGACCCAGGAGCACAAATAATAAACACACTCGAAATTCCTGGTTTGGTTTCTCTGTAGTGTCAGGATTGGCAACTCTCACATTTTATCAGTTACCAGATTTTAATGTGAGGAAGGAAGCGGTTCCATTATCTAAATATACCCAATTGTTCGTGAACAGATGATGGGCAATTTGATCTGCTCTGTCTAATTCATCAGTACAGATAAGATAAGAAAGAAAAGGCAGTCAGATATCACCAAAGGGGTTAATATTTAAAAAGATTAAATGTCAGTTATTTTAGCGACGAAACATTTCGGTCTAGGTTTTAAGCTCCCCATAAAAGGATCCTTCATTCTGAAGGAACTTTGGTTTTGTTTTTCTTTTGCTTTTTTGTTTTTGATAGGACTAATTTAAATAGTTTTTGTTTGGGTATTC